TGGGTTCTTGCAGGTGTGGATGTGGTCTGGATGTTGTCCTGTGTCCTGTGGTCTCTATTTTAGGAAGATTTTTCTTTGTTATATTTTCATAGCTCTATGTGTTTTTGGGAGGAGATTTCCACTGCTCTACTCACGCCGCCATCCTGGCTCCGCCCCAGTGTGTATTGTTTTAAGCCCCTAAGTTTGGATAATTTATTAGAGCTGCAACAGGAAACTAATACACATACTAACTGTATTTTTTTATCTATAGTGAAATCAGTTTAGTCACCCTTAAGCTAAAAAAACTAATATTGAGTCCTCCATGTGTCTGTAGCTCGTCTTACCTCTTTAAAGCAGGCTTCACAGAAGGAAGCTCCGCATAGCTGGTCCCCTAGCCAGCCTCCCCCTAAAGCCTCTCAAACTGCTTCTTTAGCACTTTCATAGCATAATTTAGTCTTGTACTGGTGAAATGTTGGGCAGTTCGGTGAGAGAATCTGTGGATTATCTGATAACAACAGAATTTCCCAAAGTATGTTAAGCAAGCTGATTTGGGGAATATGTAGAGAAACAGTTTACATTTTAATAGTTAGGTATTTCAGTGTGTGATAGAAATAAAATGATGAGCATTGGGAATGTGTGATTTCACAGCAATATAAAATTTCCTCATTCAATTAACTTGTATAAGCAGAAAAAAATACAGGGAGTTGATATAAAGAAGACTAAGTGTATGTGGTCTGGGTGAAATAGCACATGGCAGAGAGCTCTGGAGTGATATTTGAAATGGCAGTGCTTGGAAAACACCATTGTGAGACAACTCTCTGTTCAGATCTAGGTTGCTGTAGAGCACTTACTTTGTTTTTGGCCTTGTCCTAGAACAGTGCTCTGTGATTTAATATGTGCACCTTTTCCGCTTGGCCCTTCCAGTGGTGAGACCGCATATTAGATGAGTAGAGGAAGTAGAAGATATGCCAACACAGTGCCTGCCAGCCCTGTGACATCGTAACCGTGTAAGGTGGTGGCTATGGCAGGAATGATGTCTGATGTGGTGCCCCCACAACTTAGTGCCCTTTGAAGGAAGCAGGACAGGCTGAAACTGTTTTCCTTTTAAGGAAATCTAGAATGACCTGAGGTATAGGGAGTTCCTCTTACTGCCGGGCAGGTGGCATGTGAGAGGGGGACACCCTGATCCACACCCGACCTTTTTGTCAGAGTAGCTCTGCTGGGACTTTGCCTTTCCCTATGGATCAGGCAAGCCTTTATGCACTGATGTGGGAACCTAACCTCCTGCCCCCAAAATTGGAATGTAGACACATAAGTGTCAGGTGGGGAAACATTTCTCTAAGTGGCTGTGCTGACCTGGACTCATGTTTCCTTTACTTTCACTGTGGTCTTGACTGGCTTCTGGGGCTGGTGGAGTGGCTTCTCAAGTCTGTATTTCATTCATGAAGAAATTTGTGAGTTACTTAGGCTCAGAGAATCTTAGGACAGAAGGAAGTTTATGAGCCATTCCCATCTTTTGTGCTTTACCCAGGGTCTGCCGGGTGGCGTTCCCTGGAGGCTGCTGGGAGGTGTTGTAAATTCTCCTGCACCAAATCACCAACAGCAGTAGCTGGTCCTCTTCTCCCACCCACATGTATATGTATGTTTGCACCTGTGATGACAGGCTCCATGACACTCCTTTATTCTAGATTAAATAAAATTATTTTCCTAATAAGAAAAGGTCTTATTACACCTAGTAAGATCTCCCTAAATCCAAAGTAATATTTTTCCATCCTTAGTACATTCTCCAGTCATTCAGCAAATACTGAGGGCCGAGCACGTGCTGAGCACTGGGCCTGAATCTATACATAAGCTCTGGTGGAAGACATATAGCTTCTGCCCCTGTGAAGCTTTGTTCTAGTTGGGGAGGCGGATATCAGACAGATAACTGCCCAGATAACCCGTTCGAGTTCAGTGAGTACCATCAGGGCACTGTTAGAACATATAACAGGGGAGCTTCATGAAATTTGAGGCTTAGGACATGATATTTGTACTGAGACTTAAAGGGAAGAACATTACAAAGGGAATGGCATATGCAAAAGCCCTTACATGGAAAGGAACTTAACCTGGCTCAGAAGCCTGGGAGAAGCCAGTGTCCCCTCTCTCGAGTCCAGAGAGCCTGGGGGGATGAGAAAGGAGAGCAGGCTGCAGGGGACACAGGAGCCTTCATGTAGGAGAGACCATCGGCTTGCAGTGTTCAGTGACCTAAACACCCACCAGGCTAGTGTTACCTGTTACGCAAAATTACTCAGTCTTCTACTGTATCAACCCTGTATTTTGTCTATATAATTTATTTAAAATGAGATACATCTATGTATCTCTATATTTTGGGTGTTGTTCCAGTGTGGTCAGTGCATCTAAACCGAGAGTGTTTCCCACTTTGAGAAGAGAAATAAGTGCACTGGCAGCTGGGCATTTATTCATCCAATAAATATTTACTAAGTACTAGCGAGTATGCAGGGAAACACAGTGATAACAACCTAAACATAAGATCCCTCTTTTTCTGCTCTCACAGTCTAGCTGGGGGAGGCAGACATTAAACAACACTCGCCCAAATTGAAGTATTTTCTCGGATTGTGGGAAGTGCTATCTGGAAACTACCAGGCTGCCATGGCAGGGCAGGCGGGGGTCTAAGTCTGAATGGTGCCTGAGGTTTCAGGAGTGGGCCGGAGGTGGCCAGGGAAGGGGTAATGGGCAGTTGCAGCATTCCAGGGAGGCCAGGGCATCTCATATGAGGCCTCAGAGCCTTGCAAGCTTGAGAAATCAAAAGAAGGCTTTTGAGGCTGGAAAAGAGTGGGTAATGAGGCAGACATACCAAGCTGAAGTTACAGAGGGATTCGGAGGCAGGGCTGGGAGGGCTTCACAGGGTGAACACCTAGTAGGCCCTGAAAATTGCAGAGAATGTCTATTTTCCTGGGAAGGACTTTGGTCTATTTTAGCCACAGTCAATAGTCTTAGTCAAGAAAGAGTTATAGTAACAGTCATTTTGAACAGGACTCTGGCTAATTTAATACTGTTTCTTCTTTTCAAATATATAAAAGCCTAAACCTCCTCCTAAAGATAGCACTTATATACCCTATGAATGTTGACATTTAGTGTTTTTATTACCATTTAGTCTGTTCAACTGTGTAATTACCATTGATTTTTTTAAACTCATTTATAAATTTCCAAACATCTTCATTTTTAAACCACTTTTTCATTGTTGATTTACTTGTTGAATTGTATAGGGGTCAGAGCATTCTGTCTGATACTGGTTCTTCTGAACTTGTTAAAGTTTCCTCTAAGGTAATGGTTAGTAACTGTTCTCTGTGTGCCTGAGGAGAAGGTTATAGTTTGCACTCTGGGGAAATGGTCTATATACACTTACTAGATCAGGCTTGCAAATTCTCTTGTTTATTTCTCTTTCCATGTCTTCACTACCTCTCTGCTCCTCCATCACTTACTGAAAGAGGTGTGGTAAAGTCTCTCTCAGTGTTTGTGAATTTTGCAGCTTTTCCATGTATTTGGGTCAATTTTTCATTTTACAAAGTTCAAGGAAAGGTTATTTAGTACATATATATGTGTACAAGGTTATTGTATTTTGATGGTTATTATCCTTTTACCATTATGAAAATATCTATCTTTATCTCTAACGCTTTTCACTTTCGGTCTACTGATCTGACATTAATATCACCATGTAGACTTTCATTTCGTTAGTATTTACCAATTACAGTGATTCTGAGACTTTACGGTCTAGGACTGTTTTGAATTCTTAAAAATGGTACAGAACTCGGTAATGGGATTAAAGATGGTGGAGTGAGAGGAGAGACAGAGGTTTCCTTCTAAAACTGGATACAATTACAAAATTTAATTGGTGCAACTAATCCTGAGAGAGCAACAGGAAAGAGGACAGCATCAGACTTCACACACCTGGAGAAAAGAGCAGACCTCAGCGAACAGGGTAACAGTGGCTCCACAGGACCCAAGCCCCTCCCCACCCCAGCTCACCGGTGGGAGGAAGAGAAACAGAGCTGGGAGGGAGTGGAAGGCTTCGTACTGATGAATACCTAGCTCCGGAGATCTGCGCTGGGAGCACAAACCTACATTTCATGGTACTTTCATGAGACTTGCATGACTACCAGGTTGGAAAGTTAATACAGGCAGAGTTCCTGGGGAGACTGGGATTCCGGCTGCTTGTGGAAAGCAGGGATCCATATCTGGCTGCTCTGGGACAAAAACTTATACCTGTGTGACTGGCCCACTGGCTCAGGCAGTGGAGGCAAGCACAGCAGCGAGGAGGCAGGGAACAGGTCTTTCCTACCCCCAGGCACCAGTACCGCTCCTCTGCGACCGCCGACATTGCTTCAGGGGCTCAGCAGCTCCAGATTACAGCTTCTGGACACTAGAGGGCGCCATATACAAACATGAAATGCCAAAGGAACCTTGTCCAGAGTAGAATTGTTAATACAACTCCCTAGAAAGATTTAAATAATATGGACCTCGTGACTCTTCCTGAAAGGGAATTCAAAATAAAAATCATCAACATCCTAATGGAGGTACGGAAAGACATCCAAGAACTCAGGAATGAATTCAGGTCAGAGATCCAATCATTCAAGAACATGATGGAGGATATTAAAAGCAGGTTGGATATGGTGGAGGAGACAATAAATGAAATAGAAACTAGAGAAGAGGAATACAAAGAAGCTGAGGCACACAGAGAAAAAAGGATCTCTAAAAATAAAAGAATACTGAGAGTACTGTGTGACCAATCCAAGCAGAACAATATTTGTATTATAGGGATACCAGAAGAAGAAGAGCGAGAGAAAGGGATAGAAAGTGTCTTTGAGGAGGTAGTTGCTGAAAACTTACCCAATCTGGGGAAGGACATAGTCTGTCAGGCCATGGAGATCCACAGATCCCCCAACACAAGGGACCCAAGGAAGAAAACAGCAAGACACACAGTAATTAAAATGGGAAAGATCAAGGATAAGGACAGACTGTTTAAAGCAGCCAGAGGCAGAAATAAGATAACATACAAAGGAAAGCCCATCAGACTAACATCAGACTTCTCAGCAGAAACCTTACAGGCCAGAAGGGAGTGGCATGATGTATTAAATGCCATGAAGCAGAAGGGCCTGGAACCAAGATTAATTTATCCGGCAAGATTATCATTTAAATTTGAAGGAGGGATTAAACAATTTCCAGATGAGCAAAAGGGGAGAGAGTTTACCTCCCACAAACCAACTCTGCAGTCTATTTTGGAGGGACTGCTATAGATGGAAGTGTGCCTAGTGTTGGATAGCTGTCACCAGAGGTAGTAAAATCATGGTAGGGAGGGTGGAGCAGCTGATTGCAAGGCAAATGCGAAACTGAATTGACTATCCCCAAAGTCAATCAAGGGATAGACAAAAAGTACAGAATTTGATACCTAATATATAAAGAATGAAGGAGGGAGAAGGGGCAGAGCCAACATGGAGGTGTGAGTAGGACAGTGGAATCTCCTCCCAAAAACATATATATTTTTGAAAATACAACAAATACAACTAATCCTAAAAGAGAGACCAGAAGACACAGGACAACAGCCAGACTACATCCACACATGCGAGAGCCCAGCGCCTGGTGAAAGGGGTAAGATACAACCCCCGGCCCGGCAGGACCTGAGCACACCTCCCCCCTGCTCCTGGCAGGACCTGAGCACACCTCCCCCCTGCTCCCGGCAGGAGGGAGAGGGAGCCCAGGACTGCTAAACACCCAGCCCAGCCACCCGCACCAGAGCACAGACACAGTACATGCATGGAGGGTTAGAAACTAGGGAAACAGGGCAGCAAGATCTCTGAGTGGGTTCCAAAGCTGATGCCCCTGTGACAAAGAAAAGCGAGCACTTTTTGAAAGTCTTAAAGGGACAGGGATGTAACAGCTGGACAACACAGGTCACAGCACAGTGGCTGGAAATTACAGGGAAAACCGGGTGCACTAACCCCCAGGGCAACAGCTCTGAGACCCCTAAAGGAGATAAAGGGCCAAACAGCTCCCCAGTCCCTTACCCCTCTGGGCGCTGCGAAAGCAGAGATGCAGCCTAAGTCAGACCCCGCCCTAAGAAAGGGAGCTTCCTCCGTATCGGCTGGGCAAGACACAAAGACCCAGTCTACATGCATTAACCCAACACAAGCCACTAGGGGTCGCAGTTGTCCCAGTAAAGAAAGACCAGTAGCAAGTGAAATGTTTGGCCCTCCCAGCTGACAGTCAATAACACCTGACAACAGGAAAAGGCAAAAAAATATGATCCAGACAAGACTAACCCAGACAGCTTCAGCATCTGCTACATCTTCCCCTGAGAAGGAACCTGGGGAGATAGATTTAACCAGTCTTCCTGAAAAAGAATTCAAAACAAAAGTCATAACCATGCTGATGGACTTGCAGAGAAATATGCAAGAACTAAGGAAGGAGAATACAGAAATAAAACAAGCTC